TGCTGACCCCTGCTTCCCCCCCCCAGCCCCAGCCACTGCCTCCTCCTGGCAGCATCAGCTCTTGCAGAGGGCCCAAGCTAACAAACCCAGCAAGGTTTCTTATCAGGGGCTCCAAAGCGCACCCTTTACGCTGACCTGCTCCGTTACTGAGGTTCCTCTCACTATGGGGAACCAAGGGCATAATGACAACACCCCACAGGCTATGCTTGCTAGGGCAAACCTCAGAAGAAATGTCATCATTTTCAACAAACTGGAAATTTTACTCCCAAAATACATTCTGGAAACTTCACAGGTAAAGCAAACTTCCAGGGTCAAGGCTACTCTTTCCAGGACCTCCTCCTGAACCACCACGACCTAAGTCTGGATGGAGCTGGCAGAGAACTAGCACTCCTGCCTCCCTCGCTATCCTCCTCCCCAGGGCCAAGAAGCCAAATTGCAGACAGCCTTCCCATTATTTAGTCAGACAGTCCTGGGATGTTGGGAAAAGCACTATTTAGCACTATTTACCACCTTTAGCAACTCTCCCTGAAGGGATAACGTCTCCAGTGGAAGAAATGAAGTTGGCTCTAATTTATAGCCATCCCTCCTGAAACATAAAGTGTCCCAGGAGTAACAGTGCTTGATAGTGAATCTGGGATGGTCACAAGGGAAATAAAACCTGAGGTCGGGCAGAAAGACACTGTAAACACAGCTGCTTCTACAGCTGTTTAGAGAGGCAGCGTATGGGGTTGTACTGTGACTCCAAAGAGGGCACATACCTTCCCCTCTGAAGACCCTAAGCACGTAGGAGTTAGTATTTTACTGGTTGCTGTTAAGGACTATTTGAATAAAAGTGGCACAATAAAGCAGAGGTGAGGTGCAGAGCTACAGAAGTACAATGAGGGCAAAAGGACAGGTGAGACGTGGACCTCTCCCTCCGCAGGGCCCCCCACCACCGATTCAAGGAAAGGGAGGAAAGTTTCTCCATGCAGCAGGAGCCGTGATCCACACAGAAAGAATCTGTTTCACTTCTATAAAGAGCCACTTCGAAATACCTCACATTCCTGAGTGGTGCTGCTGCACTTGTCAGTTGCTTATCCCATTTGCTTACAAACTTGCAGCATTACACAGAAAAAGTTGGAGGGACTCTTCAGCTAAGATTGCAGATCATGCAAATGGCATGCGAGAGAGAATGAAAGGGGGAAACAGTGACAAGAAGGCTCAGCATTTCTTTAAGATTTTATCCAAAGAAAGCCAGACCCGTTCTCCATGCTTTAGGACTTAGATTTATGACACAACAGCTTTGTTTTCCCAGAAACAAAACCTCCCCAGTAACTTATTTCCACCCAGCAGCCCTGGCCACTAACATCAGACACTTCAGCACTTCAACAGCTGAAGGGCCTGCAGTCCTTTGAATACAAGAGGAGACACACTGCACTGACCTTTCAGAGCTTCACACACTGCCTGGGCGCTCTCTAAACACATCTTCCTTGTCCTCTGTCCTCCTTGTCCTACTCTCTGCTTCAAGTTCTAGCCTTTTTTCTCCCTCTTTCACATCAACCAACCAGGCATCCTCCTCACCCGTCATCAGCCATACAGAAAATACAACCACTTACTCCAGCAAGCTGCATTTACCTTTTCCTTCAACACCCAGGAGGCACTCTCTAGTCTCCAGGACTCTAAGCCTAAGAGGGAAAATAATTATTCTTTCTTGAGGGAGCCCAAAGCTTCTCAAAAGACTTTCTCAGGTGAGCTCTCTTGGCTCTGCTTGCCATTTCAGCTCTAATCAACCACCTTCCAGAAACAAAACCATCCAAAGCTGAGATTCTGCACTACCTTCTTCTCAGTTGTGCCAGACCAGAGAAGACCCAACATCGCACAAACAACCCACCTTCTTCTCAATTTGTGCAAAGAAACAACAAGCAGGTCGGCAAATTCTCTACTGTGTAATAAATTGTGCATGTCTATTGCTCTGCTATTTGTAATCTTCCCTCTATGCCCTCAATCTCGATCAGTTCTTCGTTGAGAAGGTCTTTGTCCCAGATTAGGTCTTGGCCCAGCTGTGAAGCACAGAAAACATACTGTCCTACAAAGGAAGGAATTACAGTTCTCCAGGAGGCAGGAAGAAGGAGAAGGGCTCGAAAGACGTCAATATAGATTTGAGTCAGAAATTGCAAATGACATCATGACACGACCTTCCACTTCCTGCTAACCCACACACGTACATTAGGACAAACGGCACAACAACACTTCACAAATATATAACACCTTTTATTAGGTAATCTCGAAGTTACTACGCAAACATTAATTAAGCTTCTTAGCACCCCTGAGAGGTAGTCAGCTAAGTATTACATCCTTCTACAGAAAAGTGTCTGTCTCGAGGACAGTCCATGGTGAGAGCAGGACTACAACTCCCATTCCCCTCCGACTACTATATTGTATTCCATATGCTGGTTTAGCTTGCTCCAGCATTTCATCTGCCTCAACTGGATGAGCTGGTGGAGTTGGAGTTGCATCTCCAGCTTAGTGCCTGGGACCCGGATCAGAACATATGAGTTGTAGCATTGC